TTTGCTTTCCTTTGGCAAACTTAGCAATGAGCGGGGACCATCTGCTCGGGCAGCACCTCCTGGCTATTACCGAGTCTGCCTGCTGACCGCGTCGCCTCTCGGTCATCCAAGGAGGTGGGTGTCTGGCAAGGTTAAGCAAGGACCACTTATGGCTTGGTTTATGGCAATCCTGGAAAAAGGTAAAGGGCAGGAAGAAGAGAGATGCCATTGCTTTACCGACAGGAGAAATATGGGAAGAGAAGGGACCAAGGGGGCGGCTGTGCTCAGGAAAGACGGGGTTGACAGCACAGCTGCCAAGAGAGGAAGAGAAGGGTGGGGCCCTTAGTCCTGCGGGAGACATGCAGCAAACCCACTGCTTTCGAGGCAAGCACAGCAAGAGAGCCACGCAAGTGTCCAGTGAGGCGGGCTCTACCTCAATTTGTGTTTCTCTAAGGACTGGGGCTTCTCAAATTTGAGGCAGCAGCAATGTCAGCTGGTGGGCTACTTAACCTAAGAGTCTGACTCGGTAGTTCTGGGTTGCCCGAAATGTGCACCACAGCTCCAGGAACCCCACCTTTGAGAACCATGGTCTTAGCACCAACCTTGGTTGTATCTCTAAGCACTGACCGGGCTCCTCGGGTTGGACAAAGTCAGTGAGTGAGAACGATGTCCCAGCTGACTGGCAAACACAAAGATATAAACTGAGAAAATGCTAAAACCTTTGCGTGGATGTATTTGTCTCTTCCTGGCTCTTCATTCAACTGACCATATGCTCGCTTTCTACTGGCAATTGCCGTTTAAATGTCAGTTGACAAGCAGATGTCCCTCACTCTACTCAGTGGGAATGGATGCGTCATACAAAAAACCTGATCAAGTGCTCACCAACTGTCCTCCGTTCCACCCCTTCATTCTGGCCACAGGGAGCCTTGCAGCTTTCCCAAGGGGCGCTGTCCTGCTAGTCCTCCACCTACGCCCCTTCGCCTGAACAGTGCAGTCGGGCAGACTCTGCCTCTCCTTTAATTCTCAGTGTTCCCACCTGCAGGAGTGTCAGCCCTTCCCGTTGCTCCCAGTCATCAGGCTGTGGCTACGTCAGCCGCCTCAGCTTCACATCATCCACATCTAGGACAGGCAATCAAGGACTGTTTGCAGAAAACATCACCGGAGGAAAAAAAGGAGTTGAATATCTCTAACTCCTGCTCAGGGCCGTCAGGGTTGGAGAGAAGTTGAAAGAGTGGGCTAGAAGAGGAGGGAGTAGCCATCCTACTCAGATCAGATCATTTCGCAACATTTCCCCTTCCTAAATCCCTTCCGCCGGCCCCCTAAGGCTTATAAGGCCTTGGTAAGACAGGCCTCCAACACCAGGGGGAAAAGTAAATCTGGGATTTCTTTAAATTACACATAGTACCTTTGCTTGAGGAAAGCAAATGTTCAGATGTTGTCTGCTTGGTGTGAGTTTTCTTTTCTAGCAGGTGCTTACGTAAGGTAGAGTCCTTATAGGTTTGGTCAGGAGGTCCAGACCTGTAGTCACTTGCTTTTCTAAACGTCCTTCAGCTCTCCTGGGCTGCACTTCACCGTCCTCTGGGAACACGTGCTCCAGTGCTTTGTCATGTGCCTTTTCTTGAGGGACCTGTTTGGAAAGCTGAGTCCAGACAGTATAGAGAGAAGGTGTGGAGCTCACGTCAGCTGGGGTCTGAGATGGGCAAGCCTCTCCCAGCAGTTCATGTTGTGAAGGGCCAGCACCTGAGCCTAAAACTGAAGAACAAGTTTGTGAATCTCAGGTCGACTCCTGTGTACGGAGTGGTCAGGCGAGGGCGAGTCACTCAGCTCCACTTCTGTTTGTTCATTCGTAGCTGGTCTCCACTATCCCCTCTTCTGCTGTCCTGACGACTCTAAGATGAAGTCTGGGGAACACAGATAGATCCCCTTCTCAGTCAAGGTTAGAGGGGGAAAGTGAGCCCAACATCACAGGAATGAAGAGGAAAAGCCGACAGGCTGACTCGGGTGCTGTGGGTGTCAGGCTTCAGTGCAGAACAGTGTTGGACCCTGCTCTACTTCTACTTTTAAAAATTACTCTGCCGCAAAACCTGTGTCAGCGTTCACTGGCTCTTGTCAATTTAGTGTAGCGATCAATCAAGGAGGAAAAACGCAAGCACTTTATGTGGACAGACGATCTGAGCGTATTTCTTAACCCAGAGTGCCAGGCTTTCTGGAATACAGTACCGATCTGTCAACAATTCCATTAAAACTGTTTACCTGTTTTCCATGACTGGTTTCAGTTCACTGATCTTAGTTCAAGTGCATAGGAAAGTTATTTAAGCGCAGGCTTTACCTTACACCACACAGACCCAGGCATTATAGTTTCCACGTGTAATATGCCAGGCCAGATTGATTGTGGACCAACGTAAATTTAGTCAAAGTTTTAATTGACTTAAGGTGTGACTAAGACTTTAAAGCTTTGACTGAGCTACAGAGTAGCTGGCACTTGAGCTGAACCAGTCATAAACAGAGTAAGAAGTTAACCTTTGGACATGGTATGATGTGACATCTAACATCGCAAACTTGTTCTCCCTAATGTAAGAGGAGCAATGACCTGTCATTTCTGACCAATTTCACCAGGGTCTAGTTTGCCCCCTACCCCAGCCAGCATCCTCTGCTACATCTTATACTTGCCCTTGGCTGTAGCTCCAATGCCCCGGTTTTCCGGGAACCAAACTCTCAAAGCACAGGAGGAAAGACACCAGCCATTTTCCCACCTCCAGTTGAGGTGGGGGAAATATATTCCAACACCTCAGCCAGGTATTTGGCATAGTCTGTGTTATTTCAGCACTAGCCAAGGTTTAGAATGAAAAATGCAAACTATATTTTTGTGCTTTTAAAATTTAAGGCTTTCAGCAATATGTATATAGAACCTTATATGGAAGGTTTTATATGAAAAGACTGAAAAACCTGTTTGACACTAGAGTGGAGAATTCACACTCAGAAACAGGATTCAACCTGGCTGCTCTGTCAGGACCTTAGGCTAAGTGCAGGTAGGTGATTCCTTGGTTTGACTTGACTCTGTGTGTGTATGTGGCTAGGGAGGATGCTGTTGTGGGGGATGGGAAGGGGAGAAATAGGGAGGGGGTGCAATCTGGAAGGATTACTTTTTCCTGTGCTGTCCAGTATGGTAGCTGCTACCACGAAGGGCTGGTCCTAATAGAAATGTGCAACTAGCGTAAAAGCCACACTGGGCTTCGAAGAGTTGGTGTGAAAGAATGTAAAGCATCTCAAATAATTGTGGATAAACTACAGGTGATAGTATTGGGGCAAACTGGATTAAAGACCACAATGAAGCTGATTTCATCCACTTTTGAGCTGTGGCTACTCAAGCTGCCTATATTTCTAGTGGGCAGCATCACTCTGTATCCACATAGGGTAGGATGATGGCTCCTACTTACTTGCATTTTCTATCTTTTCCCAGAGTGAAAATCTATTGGAGAAAAAAGAGATACCATGGATTTTGGTGTTTACCAAGCCTATGTCCTCCTTTGGGCAACTAACCTCTTCTGAGCCTTAACGTCCTCATCTGTAAAATGAAAATAGTTTTTATCTCAGCAGGTTGTTGTCAGGAGTGAGAAATGCATGGACATGAGCAGCGTGCTCTGTGCAGAACCTGACAGAGGGATCACTCAGTAAATATTCAGTCGTTTTTAGCTCAAGATCCGATACCCAATCTTTTAATCCCGGACCATTTCTAATTCAGCTCTCGGCCTCTCATTTCCCATGCTGGCACTTACTATCCTGTCTACCGACTTCGACACTCAAAGCCATGATTTCCCTTTTCCTTACCTTTGGAGAATCTCAGGTGTCATTCCCATTTTCTGCTAGTTCTTCAGAAAAGGTGCTTTTCACTAATTTACTTTCGCTCATTTCAATTTCAAAACAATAATTCTATCCTGGAGGTCCCTTGCCTCATACCTGGGATGTTGGATCTTGCTTTTCCTCACCAAAGCTGCTGCTTTTGATGAGGTGGTTAATCAAGGAAAATGGATGCCAGGCAAAGTGTAACACAAAAATAAGTTTTGTGAAAATAAAAGATCAACAGAAGGGGAACAGCACAGAAGCAGAGCGATTTTATAATTTCTCCTTTCCCACAATCCTGCTTCCCTTTCTTGCACTGGTTTTAAAGCTGTGCAAATGTTCTACCTGTGCTAAGTACAAGGTTGTTCCTGTTCCCTTTCTAGTGCCTTGCTGCCAGAAGGACAACCTCCCACGGTGCCGTATAGCACATATCTAAAACCTGTGTTCAATTTCCATATTCTAGGAAATACGTTCTCAGATGAAGATGGCTATACTTGTTCTCTGAAATTCAGTGGCAGGGAAGAGAAAATTGAAAACCTGGTAAAGAAAAGTAGTTCCCTTAGGTAGGGTGAGCGTCCTCCCGCCTGCACAATGAATGAGAAATAACTTAGGAACATATTTGGAAGAGCAGAAGTAGCTGGAAGCAACCGTGCATCTTAGAGCAATGAAAAAACATCACAATTGCCCAGCCAGGCATTTTTTTTTAAATCGGTAGTGTTAATTTTTGTTCCTATAACTAGATGATTTAGAATAGACTCTTCAGGTGATTTCTTTTGCCTTTTCATCAGATCAAGGTGCTGCTTTCCCTATTTTTAGATTTATTGAATGTTCTCGGTATAGCATACTGGTTTGTATTTCAAGAGATTGGGGTTTGACAGGAGAAAAACACTTGGAAATTCTACTTCCCTGTTATTTCCAAGGCCCTCTTTGCTGACATCTGGATTTTATGGAGGATTTAGTGTTAGAACAGGGCTATTTTATTGTCACAGAATAATATCTAGGGGTCCCTCTGCCACCAGACCAGGGATGCTCAGGTGAGTGCATGCAGAAGCACCAACCCTGTATGTGTAAACATGGCTGTCTTTCCTGGAGCACATATTAAATATTTACAATCGATCAGAGGCAGGAAGGGATCATTGCCAACAATCGTTTCCCTGTGGTTTCCTAGAAAATTGGAAGGTGTGAATGAATTTTCCTAATGACACTATCATTCAAATTTAGGTGAGGGAGGAAGCATTTCTACAAATCCAACACAGGCCTTCCAGATAGCAGCTCTCCACACAGGAACTTGCGTTCTGCCGTCTTGGTTCTGGGAGAGAAGAGAGCAAATGCTCTGCGAGTTTCTGATCTTTCTTTTCTAGCTCTTATCCCTGTAAATGAAACCTCACGATACGCGTAGTATCACTCGTCTGAGGTCTATACAGCATCTTTTTTTTTTTTCCTGCTAGAAAGAGTAATGATTGTGAAAGTTGGAAAGCAGATACAAGGGTATGCAAACAAGTGCTTGCAGTCAACTTCTGATCTGCTTCGGGCCTCTGAGTAGTGTCACTTTACAGCCTGGTCTTTCCTGGGCTGCTGACACTGCAGTTCAGGGCTGCAAAAGAAATGAGCATGTTACTGGCTGAACTTGGAGTTTTATATTAATATAAGTGTCTTTCCTCATGAGGGAGGATGATATGTCATCTCTAAAAACACTTGAAAAGACATGGAAGTGCTGCTTCAGATATGCGCATTATAATTCTGGGTGTGCACACCTAGTAAACTCATCCCCAAACATTCTTGGTGAGAGGTTATTCCTGATTCTGCTTCTCCTGAAAGTGAATGAAAAATCATTGTCACAAAATAAGCTGTTTTGCTACCAAAGTGACACCACTTCCATTTGAATTCAAAGTATCACTGGGCCTTATTTATGGGGAAGTTCTTTAAAATACAAATACTATTTTATCTCATATGGCTCTACTGTATTTCTTTAAACAAAACCACAAAAACCAGATTTATGCACTTCATAAAATGCTTCCCGGATACACAACAGTGAAAACATTTTCTTTTTTTAAATTAACAGGCAGCAACAGGTATAAATAAACTGTCTGAAGCATTTAATGGTCTTTAACACCGTCAACTCCCCTGGCCTTCAAACAGCGCTAAATTCTTTGCTAGTGGCAAAAAAAAGCTGTCAAGGAGGACATTGAAAAAGTGGTACCATTTCCTGGCCAGTAAGCACAGAACCGAGGGGCTAAATATTTTATGGTTTTTGCTGCTGTTCTCATGCTGATCCCCCCTCTCTCCTTGCCTGTACAGGGCTGATTGTTGTGACACTGGCCGTCTGCTGGCTGCCTAACCAGGTCCGGAGGATCATGGCTGCAGCCAAACCCAAGAGCGACTGGACGAAGTCCTACTTCCAGGCGTACATGCTGCTCCTCCCTTTCTCCGACACGTTCTTCTACCTCAGCTCAGTTATCAACCCGCTCCTGTACAACGTGTCCTCGCGGCAGTTCCGCAGTGTGTTCATGCAGGTGCTGCGCTGCCGCCTGACGCTGCAACACGCCAACCAGAAGCAGCTGCGCGATGCCTCCCTGGGGAAGAGTGTCCGCTCCATGCGCCGCCCGCTGCTCTTCAGGGTTTCCGGGCGCAATTCCTCTGCAAGGAGAACTAACAAGATTTTTCTAAGCACTTTTCAGGGTGAGCCTGAGTCTCAGCCCCAGCCACTGAATCCCGAGTCACCAGCCCCCAACTTGGAGGTGAAACTAGAGAACGGTTTGCAGGAGATTGAAGTGTGACGGTCAAGTCGGGTGGCCTTGACTGCTAACCGCTCTCCCCACCGAAAGCAACATCACCCTCACACAGCAATAAGAGACTGCACCCCCCCTCAGGGACAGGCATGACACTAGCTTGTGGAAAAGTCTGACATCCACTGAAATGGATTTTGAGGACTGAATCCAAGCCCAGCCTGGCCTTGACTGATTACAGACATGGGGCCAGCGTTCCCTCCACCACTTGCCTTTACGTATGTACTGAAAATCCAGAACTTACAAAAATGTTTCACGGAGCTCTTCCGTTATCTGCAAAGGAACTAAATGAAGGAGAACACAGACTCACTCCCCTCCCTACCCAGTATCAAAGCACACCCAGGAGAATCTCAGGGAGTGAGGCCAGAAGCACAACGCAGGAGGTGCTGGCGTTCACATCAGCTTCAGCACTGGGCCAACCAGAGAGCTAATTTGAGGAGCAGGATGGTGATGAAGAACCCTGGCTGAGGGGCTGAGGCTGAACTGCTCCGTTTCTTGGGCCGGGGACCATTGCAAAGTGGGGTGTTACAGCAGCTGATGCACACTGAGTTCAGTTTCCCTGGGGAGCAGAAGGACTGGTACCCAGCCGAGGCGATGAGGCAGGCCGCAGAGGACGCACACGATTTGCGGTACATGATCCCTGTAACACAGACCCGAGGGAGCTGAGTTAAGCAGCGCCAGCCGAAGGGCAGAGGCCTTCCGAACCCAAACCCCAACAGACAGCACCTTCCACAGCCTAGACTGATGGGGCCAGCACGGTGTTCAAGGTTGCTCCACCGAGGGACAGCACCCTGATGCACACGGGGGCTACGGAGGCAAGCATTTCTCTATTGGCATCAAAATTACTCCCAAAGCTATTTCACAAGCTAATACCAGTGAATAAAAAGTTATTAAAAATCAGTTTATTTTTGGAGTTTATACTGTATGCCAGGCAGTTTTTTATTATCCATAGTTTAGGTTACAAACTAGCTCCTACCAGACAGGATCACAAGCTGCACCTACAGATGGTAGCTGTTATTTTATAAGCAACCAGAGAGAGGGCTGTTTATTAAATCCTGGAATTCTTGGACTAAATCAGATTCCTACTGATGGGGTGGCCTAGCTGAGAGTAAGCCCAGGACAGCCCTCTTAAGACACATGGTTACCTGCCGAGTTGGCATCATACTACGTGACTCACCATGTGAGCACAGTGAGGCTGGAGGGTGAGGGCACATCTTCAAACTGCATGGCGTGTCCAAGCTGCAACTTAGTCATCAATTATTTAAATTTCTAAAGTTGGAAGTTGACACAATTCAGTAATAGCAAGGCTGAAGTGTGTCTTGCACGCCGGGCACTGTTCAGATGACCACTGTGAATAGTGTAGCCTTTTCCTACCTCTCTAACCCTGCAAGGGAGATCACCCCAGTTCACAGATGAGTCTGAGGGCAGCAGAGGTTTAGTAAGTTGCCGAACATCACAATACTGGGGTTTGGGCCTACTATCTTGGCTCCGTGCAGTCAAGTCTATCACCATATTGCAAAGCAGATACATCGCCAGTTGACTGTTGTGGTTATCTGAAAACAGCTGTTCGGGTGCATGTGGTCATTTTGTTTCTATGATTTAGGTTGCTCTTCTTTGGACGACTAAGTCATACTAAGCTGGACTTGAAAGTAAATGGCTCCAGCTTGTCTGCCGCCCTGAGGAACTGACATCCGCCAGGAGCCAGGGCTTCTCACCTAGACTTCCTGCTGGGACGGTTTGGTTTGTGTCCCTTGAGAACTGCCTCCCTGGGTGCTAGAGAAGCAAAGTGCCTAAAACTTTCAAGTAGGAAGGAATATTTTAGATTCAAATTAAAGCAAGCAATTTTATGAAAATTTCCCCTATTTCTGCACATTTGTAGGGTTGATTTTCTAACATTACCAGAAGATTCCGGATGGTAACTTTTCTGGTAAGATAAAGCCCATGAACAGAGGATGTGGGGGAGGAGGAGGTACTATTTAATTCCTGGGAAAAAAAGAGTTCCCAGGTTTTTTTTTTTTTCATTGCCCATTTTAGGAGATTGCTTTACTTTTATTCTTGAATATTAAGAACACTACCTGTCAGTTGCCCATTCTACAGTATGAACTTAAGTGAATTTTAATAATTCAAATGTATTTTACTGATTATTCACTGTAAAAAGTCAGACAAAGCTTGAAAATGCCCCTTGGCATCCCTATCCACCTGCGGTCCTCCTGAGTACTCCTGAGTGGTTGCACATGTCTGCTAATGGCACCCTGTCTATGTGCAGTTCTGCAATTTGCATGTTTCCTTAGTATAAAAAAATAAATACTGAGCAATGTTACTAAAGCAACATTACTAACTTTGTAGAGCTAGAGACCAGTGATGATGTAGGTTGGTACAACAGAGAACCATGACTTTATGAAGCAATGTATCAACAGAACCCACATGTATATTTGCTAAGACCCTCACATATTGAGTCAAAAGCAATTTTTTGTCATCAGGGAAATGTGTGTGGACCAGGGTGCAGATCTGTGGGTAGGTGTAAGCCCATCGGGGTTGCTCCATAACAGTACTACAAAGAGACTGAAGGGAAACACTGAGAGTGCCATGAGCCAGGGGCTGACACCAGAGACATGCTGACTTGCCAGCTACACCAGACCAGGATACCTAATGCAGGCCCAAGGGTAATCCACGTGTGAGCCCCGAACTCAGGGCATCCTAAAGGCTTCCCTTGACAGTGCAATCCTACCCGTGGAAACTAGAGATGCTGTGAGTAGAGGCTGTGACTTCAAACTAGATGAAAGGAAATGTGGACCCAGCAGACACCTAAGGAAGAGTTGGGTTAGTAGCTGGTATTGGAGTATGGAGCTTTGGAGATAATCAGGAAGAACACAGAAAATGCCCTAGTACTGAGCTGTCCGTGGAGGCAGAAGCAGCAGGTAGGAATTATTAAGAGGAACAGGGAAATTCAAGCTTAAAAAAAGGGCGTGGGGGGGCCTCCCTGGTGATGCAAGGGGTTAAGATGCAACCCATGAAGCTTTCCACAGCCTCTGCAGCATGAGTTCGATCCCTGGCCGGCCAGGGAGCTACTCACATGGCACAGCAGACCTCTCCTGACTCGTCCGCTGCTCCCCCTCAGCCGTGCACTTTGGTCAATCTGCCTGTTCTGCTCCCCACTCTGTCTCTGGTGAATCCTCTCACCCCCTACACCTCTGACCTGTACCCCAGCTTGTATGCATAAATAATTAAATCTTTTAAAGAAGGGGGCTTGGATTTGGGGGTGGAGGTGGGAACTAGGTTGCAGGCCATCCCTGAGCCTCAGAGCTGAGCCCATAGAAGGAAGCAGTGATAAAAAACAAAACTGACATCACTTAACAATCCAAGGAAGGCAAGAGTCAGTGAAAGTGAAGAAAAATTGGACATTGCTTCTGCCCACATAAATATGTATGGATTATGGCAAGAAAAATGAAATGGGTCACCAATAGTTGACTAAGGTGCTTTGGTGCTGGGTGCACTGTAGCAATCATACCTGAAGAGGGGAAGGATCTCACATTCCCCAAACACAAACAACTACAAAATACTAGATTACCTCACAAAAGAATAAAAACCACCTGCTCATCTGAATTCACTGGTGGAATCCATCAGATATTTAATAGCACAAAAGTTAAACCCTTCCAGAGAAAAGAGAGAAGGTACTTATAAGATTTATTTTTTGCCATCCAGATAACCTTGATAGCAAAACCTGATGCAAATATTACAGACCTACCTATTTCTCATGAACAAAGTTGCAAAACAACTCAATAGATTTATATAAAAAATACGTCATGAGCAGATGAGGTTTATCTTAAAATGGCGAGAGCAGCATAAACAATGTAATGCATCACATTAATAGAAAGAAGGAAAAAACGCTGAGAAATTGGGAAGTTCAAACTCCACTATAATCTTTAAAAACCTGAAAAAATTAGGAAGTGTAAACAACTCTCAATCTGATAGTTATGTTCAACTATCTTCAGTACATTTCCTACTGAATAATAAACAGTAAGGCTTCCCATCTGAAATTGTGCAAAAGATGCACGCTACCATTACCATTTCTATTTGACATGGTGAGAGTATAATTAGATAAAGTTAAAAGAATTTGTAAGTAAGAAAGAAAAGTCAATATTAGTGAATAACTGTCACAGCAATAAAATACCACCACACACCTACTACAACAGTCAACATCCCAGATGCTGGTGGGCTGTGAAGCAACAGGAACTCAAATTCATTGCTGGTAGGAATGTGAAATGGTACAGCTACTTTGAAAGATAGTCTTAGAATTTCTTAAAAACTAAACATACTCTTCCCATATAATCCAGCAATTACACCCCTTGGTTGAGTTCCAATCCATATGAGTTGAAATGTATATCCAAATAAAAACCTACACACAAAAGTTTACAGAGGCTTTATTCATAACTACCAAAAGCTAGAAGCAATCAAGATGTCCTCCAGTAAATGAATAAAGAAACTATATATAGCACAGCTACACAATGGAATAGTCTGTGATTTTAAAAAACGAGCTATTGAGCCATAAAATAAGTGACATGGAGGAAACTTAAATACATGTTACTAAGTGAAAGATGTCAAATATGTCAAGGGTACATAATACATGACTGCAACTACATGACATTGTGGAAAAGGCAAAACTAAGGAAACAGTAAATAGCTAGGGGAAGAGAGATGAGTAGGTGGAGCACAGAGAATAAGGAAAAAAAAAAAAAAGCCCAAAGGAAAAAGCTAGAGAAATGAGTCCTCTGGCAGAAAATTATGAAAATGGAAAATACCTCTATGTTAACTGAGGACTACAACCTGCCATAGAGGAATTCTGTCAAAGTCCCACCAGCACCTGGATCCTGAAACCTTGTAGAAAAATTGAGAGAGAGAGAGAGACATCTTTTCCTGAATGAGCTCTCAAAAATCAAAAAATGGTCCCAGGACAGCAAACCATTTTTGTGTCTATTGAAGAAGCCTATGTGATTTCTGTGTTAACAAACCATGTTAATCAGAGGAGGAAGTTCAACATGCACGTCTATGTTCTGGTGTCCACCTACTGCCTGCTTCATTGTTAATGTATAAACTTTTATTTGGACACTTTCGCATAGCAGAATACACCCTGAGAACCATGAGTTGGATAGCACGCTTATTCACCTCTCCAACATTGCCACTTAAAATACACAGGGAAGATTATAACATCTACCTGGTAAAGGTGGACCATGAATCACCACCTGTGGCTCTGCCTGGAAGTTGCTCAAGGACAAAGGTGACCAGCAAGCTGTTCAAGGAGATCCAATGGCCTGTGGCTGAAGGTTGTAGCACTGGTAATGAATGCCCACAAACACTGCAGCAAGTGCTATGGCTATGACATCAGAGACAAGAAGCTGTTTGGGTTAACAGGTCCCCATCTCTTCACTCTAGCACCACCACTCAAATACTTACATAACCTAATTAATGACACTTTGATATTGCAGTCCCTAATGGTGAAATCTCAGACTACCTATTGAACAAGTCACCCCCAAAGAAGTTATTGGCAGTTATGAAATTCTGTATGAACAGCTGACAGAGGATGACAGCTACCAGAGCTGAGGATTTTGCATGGAACCACAAAATACTTTAATAGAGCAATTCTGAAAAGTAGGAGGTGTTATGCTCCCAGACTTCAAATTATACTACAAAATAATATTAATCAAAACAGTGTGGCTTGGGGGGGGGCACAAGATCAGTGAAATAGAATTAAGAGCCCAGAAGTAATCCACACTTATATAGACAATCTATGACAAATGAGCCAAAAACATACAATGAAAAAAAGGAAAGTATTCAACAAATGGTTTTGGAAAAATTGGACAGCAACATAACAAAT